TTGCTATAGAAAATTATTTGCATAAAGGAAGAAACAGAATACAACAAAATTAGTTTTGAGTATTTTCATTAAGAGAAAATGCTTAAAATGTGAAATACTTTACTTAACTAAAATATAAACATGTATTGTTTATTGATTTATCCCAAATTTATTGGTGCTTAACTAATTAAAATAATAATAAATAAATACCTAAAAGTATGTGCACTTACCCCCTGAGGAACTTGCTGATTATTTCACAGAAATATTTTATCTATTAGTGTTTGCAAAAGCTTGGACATGTTTTGCATGAGTTGTTCACGAGCTTCCTGTGTATTTTGTTTGCAGAGTGCATGATTTTGATCCTTTTATCGATTTGAATGCACTGAATTATTTACTTTTAGATAAACTACTTAACTTTACAGTATTCTCTTTATCAACATGGACAAATATTACATTACGCTGAAAGATATCCACTCACATTCTTAAACCTTATTATGTTTTATTTCATCAGAGGTACATCCTCAGGAAGAAATCGTGGCAGTCCAGCTTACACTGCATCTACTGCTAGTGACACAGTTAACCGTGGAACTCCAGCGTCAGTAAGGTAAGATGTAATATTTATGTGAATGCAAATTGGAAAAAGTTTTCTTACAACTGTAAATGAACGGGCAATTCTTAATTTTCCATTAAAAAAATATGTTTATTATTTGCTCATTGCTTTATTTAGAATGTTTACATTTACCTTAAATTTATCAGATTTAAATAGTACCATTATATCATGTATATTAGTTACATCAATAAAAAAATCGAATGATTGAAGATCAGATATACATTTCTCTTCTTAAGTTTTTTCAATTTCGTATCTTCAAATTAAAACGAATCTATTTGTGAAGATAAAATGTTTCTGATTAAAAATTGAATGATTATGTATAATTAATTCACTTTTTTTCATTAACTCAGAACTAGACCCACACTGAAACCATCTACTGCTATTGTTCCCAAGGCCCAAGAATTTATTGACATCTACAGATTTCCTCCAAGAAGGTAATGATATCTCTTTAAAGTAATAAGTATCCTGTTTCCATTTATGTCATTTCATTGACTTTATTTTTTTGTTGTGTTATTAACCATAATTTATTTACTTATTAGGCCTGACTCTATTTATCCCACTCCACAAGTTGATAAGACTGCTGCCAAATGTCGTAAAGATGTGTGCTTGCTTCCTGACTGTTACTGTGGAGGAAAAGACATTCCTGGTATGTCAATTGCTTTCACCTGTTCTTACATGTTTTTATGAATATACTATAAAGGATTTAAAATATCACTTGATTTTTATTTTTTTGCTCTTGTTAAATCAAACTCTGCTTTATATACAAATTATTATTCTTTATTTTGCATATTTGTTTTCTTGTACATTATAAATAATATAAGAATGTTGATGTTTTTTTACTACAAAATTTTATGCATGTCATTGTAATTTGAAATGCATGTTAATCATAAAAACCTGCGTAGGAGATTTGAAGGCTGAAGAACTACCTCAAATTGTGCTACTGACTTTTGATGATGCTGTAAATGATCTCAATAAGGGTCTTTATAGTGATCTCTTTGAGAGAGGGCGTAAAAATGCAAATGGTTGTCCAATTTCTGCTACATTTTATGTATCACATGAGTGGACTGACTACAGCCAGGTGCAGAATTTGTATGCTGATGGGCACGAGATGGCATCTCACTCTGTTTCGTAAGTGAACATAGGGAGAAGAGTATAAAGAAGAGAATGATTGACTTTTATTTCTCTGCAAACAAGGTCAACCTCTTGAATAGTTGTCAGTTTTTAATATACGCATAATTACCATCAAAACTCAAGTGGTATGAACTGAAACAATTTGATCACAAAAATTAGTTTTCATTGAGTCAAAGAAAGAATAAATGGTTTCACTAGAATATTTGTCTAGATTAGTTGAGAACTTCCACTTTTGGCAATACATCCTTTGGCAAGAAGTTGTCTTTGTTCAAAGAGCTTTCCAGCCTTTCATCATTGTTGCTGTTTTCCAGCTCTTCTGTGTGCAAAACTTTCTATGCTTATGTTGCTTATCTTTAGTTGTGTGACTAACATAGAATGTTTCTGTTTTTTCTTTCCTTTGTTATTTACCCATTTATCCCACTCAATACTTTATTCCTGCATTTCTTTTAAAACATGTTTGATAACATGACTTTTCATCTGGCTCTTTTTGCTTCTTGCGATAACCAATACTTTTATATTAATATTTACTATATTCAAAACATACATATTAAATACTGCAATTTTCATAAAATATGTGGTTTTGATACTTTCAATGCATTTCTGTACATGCTTACTGAATTTTCGATCATATTACATTCATTTCTTACTGAAAAATTATCACCTAAAATCTGCTTAAACTCACAACCTCTAAAATTAAATTATTCCCATAAATGTCCTATTCCTCTTTCTCTGAACCTTACTTATTTAGGAGGTTTTGAGCCAGAAGAAATTCCTCAGATGGTTCTCTTAACATTCGACGACTCAGCTAATGATCTGAACAAAGGACTTTATCACGATTTGTTTGAGACGGGCCGTAAGAATGCTAATGGATGCCCAATATCTGCCACTTTCTACGTGTCTCATGAATGGACAGATTACAGTCATGTGCAGAATCTGTATGCAGGAGGACATGAAATTGCATCACATTCTATATCGTAAGTGTCTGTTCTGCACACAAAAGATGCATAATACATAACCATAGAAGTGTAATATACTTAATGAGTAGTGTAGCTCAAGATACTAAAAAAATTGTAACAAAACTAATATAAATATTGTGCAGAAACCTGAATTAAATATTTTCACTTCTTGTTGTTTTGCAATTGCACTTCTTGTTAATATCAAGCATGCCATTAGGATGTAGACAGTTATTTTATTTTTAAGACACTTTCATTTTTATAGTACAAGCATTTTTAGTCATGTTTATAAGTTGTTCACAATTAACATTTTGTAATATAACTTGACATTTTTAGAGACTGTTTAAGCTCAATAGATCCTTAAATGATTTGAGTTTAGATGCATCAAAATATAAAAAACATTGAATACAAGCATCAGAAAATCTCTGTAAAATTTCCAAATCTTCTATCTTATTCTGCTTTCTATTGGTACTTTGCATATGCTTAACCTATGTGTTTTATGTGTCACCTCAGTGTATATATTCATGTTTATCTTTTGTCATGCACTGTAAATTTTTCAAAAACCTTTACTAGTACCACAAATGCTACTAAACAATAATTTTGATATGAACAAGTGTTTTAAGTAATCTCTTCAAAAATGCATGTTTAACGTGTACATAGTTATTTATGGTAAATATATAATTGAATGAAATCTTGATCATGATTCACTTGATTTTTTTATGATTCAAAGGGCAAATATTGAGATGTCCCTATGTTCTCCATCTGGAGAGTTAGTTTTTAAAATCTTTCAAATTGTCAGACATAGTTGGACAATTTTTTGAGAAATAAAAAATAAAGCAATCAAATAATATTTTCAATACTGACATTATTTTCAACTGCAATTACTTTCATTTTTAATTTCGAATTCTACACCAATAAATTTTGTTTTTTCTCCAACTACCACCTTCTGCCCTTTTAAATTTATAAATAGGAAATCCACATGTTTTTTGTGTTGTTCAATTAGGCACAGTTTTGGAGAGCAGTTCTCTCAGAAGAAATGGACTAGAGAAATTGGTGGTCAGAGAGAAATTCTGGCTGCTTATGGTGGAGTAAAATTAGAGGATGTGAGAGGAATGCGAGCACCATTTTTAGCTGTAAGTATTAAACTTTCAAATATCTGCTCATGATAAGATAATATTGAAAGGCTTCATGAAATGAAAATTTAAATGCAAATTGCTCCAATGAAATGTAGAAATTTTAAAATTTCTTATTATTTTGCTTAGATTGGAGGCAATAAAATGTTCAAGATGTTGTATGATTCCAACTTCACCTATGATTCATCAATGCCTGTTTATGAGAATAGACCTCCCAGCTGGCCGTACACTTTGGACTATAAAATCTTCCACGACTGTATGATTCCACCTTGCCCCACTCGCTCTTATCCTGGTGAGACACGATACTTAATGTGGAAATTAAAGAAATTATGTAAATTTGAAAATTTTGTAAATATTTTCATTATATTTATCATTTTTTTTCTAGGTGTTTGGGAAGTTCCCATGGTTATGTGGCAAGATTTGAATGGTGGACGTTGTTCTATGGGAGATGCTTGTAGTAATCCTCCTACTGCTGACGGAGTTTACAAAATGCTTATCAAGAATTTTGAGAGACATTACACCACAAACCGGTAAGATATAGATCTGAATTAAACATACAAATTAACTATTTGTTTTTTATGTGCAATCAGTTATTAATAAGAATAATAGACATTTCATTTTGTGTATTTACTTTGTAATATGTTCCAATGTCTTTGTTTCTCCATCTAGGGCTCCATTTGGTCTGTTTTATCATGCTGCTTGGTTCACTCAGCCTCACCACAAAGAAGGATTTGAAGCATTCTTGGATACAATTGTAAATATGCAGGATGTGTGGCTTGTAACAAACTGGCAAGCAATTCAGTGGATGAGAGATCCTACACCTCTTTCAAGGATAAATAGTTTCCAACCTTGGCAATGTAACTACCCTGTAAGTATTCAAAACATTTACTAAGCTTTTGTTGTTGGGGCATTAATGAACTAAAAGTGTTTTACTTCTGACACTGTTTGGCTTACCCTCCTTTTTTTTCTTTCATATTTTTAATTCATTAATTGATATTTTTCTTTGCCATTTAAGGTAAATTCACAATTATTTTTGTATTTATCTGAATCACTCAGAATAAAAAGAAAAATACATTGTAATAATACTTGTATCCAATAGGGTTATATGTTCTTGCACACATTTTTTAGAATATTGGTTGAGTGTTTATTTTTTAAATGCTGTTAATAACAGTTCATATTTTACAATATTTCTAGGACCGACCAAAGAAGTGCAATAATCCTAAAGTTTGCAATTTGTGGCACAAGTCTGGAGTTAGATACATGAGAACGTGCCAACCTTGCCCTGATATCTACCCATGGACTGGCAAAACTGGTGTGAGAAACAGCAGGGTGGATAATGAAGTCATAGAGGAATGAACTGTGTCATCAGATGTAAATATACGTTTAGGAATGAGTGTATGAAGAGAAGCTCTAGAGCTTTGAAGAAATTGTTTGACTTAGTTGTGAGTTTGTTCAAGAGATTCACAGCAGTCAAGGATTTTTTAATTTCAAATTTGCAATATTCTTGTAAAAAATTAGTCAAAAACAATATTTGTGGCCTGTTTTGACTTATTTTTTCATGAATCTGTATTTGTTAAACTTGAGTTTTTTTAACTTTTACAGATTGTTAATGGTTTTTAGTTTATCCTTGGGAAAATTAAACTCTGTTTAAAGAGTAATACATTTTGGACATCTTACTTATCAAAATCTGCGTAATGGAAGTAATCAACTCGTTTGTATGATAGATATATTTTTTTACAATCCTTAGTTCTCAGACCTAATGAGTTTGGTTTCTATTTAAATTCAAGAAAAAGGAACAAAATTTGCATTCCTTTACTGTCTTATGCTCCCTGCTGAGATATGAGATCTTGAGAAGTTCATAAACTTTTATATTGAATGTTCCGTCTTTGACATCCTTTAATGTTTACTATTTTGACAAAATAATTGCCAAACATTTGCTAATTATTGAATTTCCTATGATGAAACAAAGGCAATACTGGAAATTAATTTAAAGTATTTATTTTTTTAGTGTAGTTCTTTGCCATTGTGGCTAGAATTAATGATTTATGCCTACATAAGATTCATGTTGGTTTTATTTTACTGGACATGCTTTGAAAAGACCTTTACTTACTGGTACAAGGAAGAAGTATTTACAGTAAGACAGATTTAAAAAAAATTAGACTATGACAATTTTTATTTATTAATTGAATGAGAATTGCAGATGAATAAAGAAAATTTTGAACCTGCACATCATTCAATTTATATTTTTATGAAATTTTGTAAATTTAATTTACTGTTGGACTAAAAAAGAAAATCAAATTTATTCTTCCTAGAATATAACATTATTTGTGTGCTTGCATACATTTTCTTAAAAGGATTTTAATTGTTATTTTATACAGGTTACTACTATCATGTTAGAAAACATTTTTGAAATTTTTTCTAGATATAAGCGTGAATCTCATCATCTTGCACACCTTCTGGAAAACACTTTATATACTGTGTTGAGGTTTTGGAACATTATTTTACATACCTTTTTCACATCAGATTTAAAAATAAGAATCTGAAGTGAATTTGACTATTGTGCCAAAATTAGTTCACTGGACTGTCAAATAATGAATGTCATTTTTTTTAATGTATTTGATGAGTCCAATGAACTAATGAACTATAACAACTGTACACACATATTCTTGAAGTGGTAAACAGTATATCAATTTGTTTCTAAGAATAATAGCACATTGTATATAAGGGAATTATGAACAAGTTCTTAATTGCACAGAAAAATCTGAATTACTAGAATGATGAATGAAATGTATGTTACAAAAGCACATAGAGTAATGTTGGCAAACTAAAAGTTTGTTCTTCAGATTTTAATACTTTGGTGAATTGTAATTTGAAGATTATCAGTAAGTTATAAATATAAATTATTCAGATAGTTGTGATGATAATTTCTGTTAATCCATTCAACTTTAAAAAACACCAGACAAAGATGGATAATATTAATTTTTTTAGCCTTGTAAAATAAAAATATTAAAATAAGCAACTTTTTTTATTTCATTACACACAGAACTGACAAAATTGTACTCCCTCAACCTTTTGCAATCTGTCTGATAAAGTACATCAGTATAGGGACTGAGTACAACAAACATGTCAAACTCAGATGAGTGGACATGGTTTCCAAGCCTCCCCCTACCAGATCCATCACTGTACCCACTACTCAAACTATTTGCAGACACAGAACAAGAATATATTTTTGCTATCTACTAACTAGTTGAAGATTACTGTTAATAAATTTCAGATAAAAGCAAGGTTTTTAATTTATGTGTATTCTTATTGCAAAGATAAGTGGGAACATGTCATTTTTTAGCATTTTTGAGATGATCCTACTTGTAAATTAATCTGCCCTGACTAATTTTTATTCAACAAAGTTTTAAACATTAGGAGTGAAACCAGAGGGATATCTCAGTGGTAGTATAAAGCTAAATGTTTGATTACTCCTTCCTTCAAACAGTTCTACAGGGATTGCATCCAATGGGCCATTTAAAAATGTAATATCTATTGTTATCTC